TCATCAAAATAAAAAAAAAAATATTGGATTCAAACCCAGATTTTGATTATCATCATCAACACGCCTCTGTACCCGTCGGTGATAGCAGCTCCGGTGTGGCGTCGGAGATCTACACAGATCTCTTCCCCCTCCCTCTTCTCTCTTCCCCCCTCTCTCTCTTTGTCTTTCTCTTCCTCCCTCTGCTCTCTCCCTCTTCTCTCTTCTCTTTTCTCTTTCTCTTCTCCCTCTTCCTCTTCTCTTCTCTTCTCTTCTCTGCTCTTCTCCTTTCTCTCTCTCGCCTCTGTGTCTTTGTTCAAAAACAGGAAAATAAAGAAAAAGAAAACAAAAGCAAGAGAAGGAAGAAAAAGGAGAAAAAAAAAATGAAACAAAAAACGACGTCGTTTTGAATTTTGAGCCAAATTCGAGCCAACCATTTTGGGCCCACAAACAATTTTCAATCTTTTTTTACAAGTCTTATAACTATTGGGGACACTACTGCCCTTTAATAGGCGGACCAAAACAATTTTCAGTTTCGCAACACAACTATAGTGTATTATTTTTAACATGAAAATACAATACAAATTACCAATCTTTACAAATTTTTTGAAAAAATTATCACTCATGTGGAGTGATGGAAAAATATTATGAAATTAATAAAAAAAATTGCAACATAAAAAAATAAATTTATAAACTTTTATATCAAATTTATATTATATTTAACATACCACTGAATTGTGATTAATGTAACTTTTTTATTTTATAAAACATGACTCACTTTAATAAATGTGATAGGTGACGCACTAATGAGTAAAAAAACTATAAGATTTATTGGTTTATGTAATAATAATTTCCAACTTAAATATTGGATATGGATGAATGTATTTTAAAGGGTTGTTAGCATTGTCTCCAAAGGATATATTTTAACTATAATTTATATCATGCAATAGCTTCTAATATTCTTTTTAGCTGTTAAAATGAGAATACATAAGAATTTATCAAGTTGAGTTATCATAATGCAAACTATTAATTGATAGTTCGATGTAGTACAAAATATTATTTTTAGTTAAGAGATTAAGGGTTTATTTGGTTTGTATCTCAAGATATAATTTTTTTTAAAAAAAAATTCAAAATTTTGTTTGGTTCAAATTTTTTGAAAAAAATTCCAAAATTATTTTTTTTCTCTTACACATCAATCAATCATTTTTTCTCTCTCCTCTCTCATTTTTAATCACTTTTTTTTTCATACACATCTGCTTAATTACAACAAAATATCAAATTATCTCAAATTCTCAAATTCCAAAACTATTTTCAAAATATACAACCAAACAATCAAAAAAAATTATAAACTCTTTTCCCAATTTTTTTTTTTTTGAAAATTTATCTCAAAACACAAACCAAACACACTGCAAAATATTTTACAGAGTGATAGGTTAAGGAGGTAAAGTATAATTTGTTCTAACTATTTTTCTTCCCATTTGAAATAACCTTACATCTTTGTTTATTATTTGAAGTCAATACAATAAAAAAATATAGTTTACATACATAAATTAAATATAATTGAAATTAGTTAAAATTAAATATTTATAAATAATTTCAGCTCAAGCCTATTCTAAAATGTAAGTTAAAAGTTGACTTTTTAATTTTTTTTTTTAAATGTATAAAAAAGTAGAGGTGATGTGAACACAAAAGTCAAAAAATTTACTTTTAACCAACTTTAGTGATTAATTCTCATAAAATTTAACTTGTACAAAAAGCTTTAATATTTATATATTTTTTAATTTTTAACTAAATATGAAAGTTGTTTGACATGATAAATTAACAATATATAAATAAAACACTAATTTAAAACAGCACGATATAATAATATAAAAAAATAAATGTGTAAAGTTTAATGTTACAATAGTGAGGGAGGCCTCGAATTTGGCCCAAATAGAGTTTTTTTTTTTGAGGGGGGCCTGCCGTGTTAGTTTTTTTTTTTTTAAGTCTAATATAAAATATTATACATTTCCCACCAACTCATCATATAAAATTATATGAAATTAACAAAATTTAACCAACAGTTTAACTAATCAGTCAATTTTATCACTTAACCAGTCCAACTTAATTGACTGATCAGTTAGACTGTTGGTTAAAATTCGTTAATTCCATATAATTTTGTACGATGAGTTAGTATAGGATGTCTAGTTTTTTGACACACCCCTACATATAACCACCTTAAAAAAAAAAAAAAAAAAAACCAACACAGCCTAACAAATAAAATTAAATTAAATTAAAAAAAATTAATCAGTCAATTTTATTATCCAATCAGTCCAACCCAACTCACTTACAAAATGTCTAATTTTTTAGTACACCCTTATACATAATCACCCCTATAAAGAAAAGACAGAAAAAAAAAATAAAAAAAAAAACCAAACTAAAACAGCTTTGGAAGAAAAGAAAAGAAAAAAAAAATGATTTCGAGGCAAATTCGAGCCTCAAATTCAAGGCCTCAATCATTTTTCTTAGGAAAATGACTGGTAGCTCGAAAAAAAATGGCTCGATTTTGGCTCGAATTGCAAAACAACGTCGTTTTGCGATTCTTTTTTTTTTCTTTTTCTTCCTTTCTTTTCTTCTTCTTCTTCTTCGTTGAACATAGGAGAAGAACAGAGGGGAAGAGGAGGAGAGAGGGAGAAAGAGAGAGGAGAGCAGAGAAGGGCCCTCCCTGTGCCTCCACCGCCGCCGATCGTCGCAGCATCTTCAATCGTTGCAGCAGCTCCGATCGTCGCAGCCTCGCCTCCGGCCCCACCTCCTCCAGCCCGATTTTGATGGCCCCCTTCCCTCCAGTTCTCCTCATTCCTCCTCATTCCTCCTTCTTCTCTTCTTCTTCTTCTCCGAATTCGAGCCAAATTCAAACTACGAATCGGAATCGTTTTTCTTAATGTTAATGAAATTTTCATATGAACCCCAAATTCTTATACCAATCAGATGATATGATAAGACACGAACTCAACTGATGGTCTCTTTTAACAATTAGTTTAAAAGTTAATTTATTGATTTTTTGACTTTTTAATTCACATCATTTTTTTTTCTTTTTTAATTTGTTAAGTCATATCAGCTTGCGTGGTTTCATTTTTTTAAAAATATTTTTCAGAAAAATTTTATTTTTTTATTTTTCGTGTTTTTTTATTTTTACTGATTTTTTTTTAATATTTTAAATAATTTTTTTACTTTTTAGACACACTTAACATAAATACACCTAAAAAGTAAAAAATTTGTAAAAAAAAATCTTTTAAAAATTAACTAAATACCAAAAATACAAGAATTCGTACATTTTTTTATTTTTATGTATTTATTAATTTTTTAAAATATGTTTTCATAATTTTTTTACTTTTTAGATACATCTAAGTAAGGTGCATTTAAAAAAGTAAAAAAAATTAAAATTTTAAAAATATTCACTAAAAAAAAATACGAAAACCAAAAAACTTAATCCAGAAAATTCAAACTAAACATACTGATTATCTTTTTATTTTTTTTATTTTTGTATATTTTTTCAAAAAAAATTAAAATATCAACTTTTAATCTACCTTCAAAGATAGGCCGATGTATTACTATTTCCACCGTAACTAATTTCAGCTTATTAAAAAGGGAAAATTGATTTGATTATAAACATGTCTGAAAAATAGAATATGTGGCCAAATCATCATGCTATTTTAAAAACATACACCTCTATATCCAACTTGCCACATTCACAAATACAATCTGTTTGGTTTGAGTTTTTTAAATAATTTTTTGAAAATTGAGTTTTTTTATTTTCGTATTTTTTTATTTTTAGTGAATATTTTTAAAATTTTAAACATTTTTTTTTAACTTTTTTAGGTACACCCTACTTAGATGTATCTAAAAAGTAAAAAATTTATGAAAAAATATTTTAAAAAATTAATAAATACATAAAAATACAAAAAATGTTCCGAATTCTTGTATTTTTTTTTGTATTTTTGGTATTTTGTGAATTTTTAAAAGATTTTTTTTACAATTTTTTTACTTTTTAGATGTATTTATGTTAGGTGTGTCTAAAAAGTAAAAAAATTGCTTCAAATATTAAAAAAAATTATTAAAAACAAAAAAATACGAAAAATAAGAAAGTAGAATTTTCTGAAAAGTATTTTTAGAAAAATGGAACCAAGCAAGCTGAGTTATTGTTGTATTAACATTCTATTTTAAGCTTTTCACATTTTTGTATTTATCTTTAGCAGCAGTTTAATTTCATTTTCAATATCAATTTAAAAAAAATTAATTTAATAAAAATAAACATTTTTTTTTGTAAAACTAAAATAAAATCATGTGAAGATTATGGCTAATCAAGCATTCATCCGATCTATCAAAACTGAATAACCCGAATTTGTTTCTCACAGAATTGACGATTTTAATGGAACGAACAAATGAATGCAGATGTATTTTTTTCAATCCGCTTAAATTTGGATGGATGGCGGATGGGAGCCACCCGACCCACCCAATAAGCCAACACCTTTAAGTGCAAAATACTTAATAATTATTAGAAACTAGTTCGAAAAAACCCCAAAACAGTAAAATTTAAACCGTTAAACCAATATATCTTCACTCGTAAACCAATCAATCCATCTGTTAAGTTTGGGAGAGATGAAAACCCACTTGACCCGACCCGTACCAACATAATTACAAGACTCCAAGTAAGAATAACAAGTATTTTCGATTTATTAATTTTCACTAAATTAATTTTTATCTTTCAATTTTCCGAAAAGCAAATTTAGATAAAACCAAACCAAAAGTGGAATCTTTTTACAAGTTTTTAGTGACTATTTTTAGAGACTTGGGGGAGTAAAAATACCCAAAATTGATAGTGATAGGAAAGTTAAACCTTTTTTACAAGTCCTATATTATTGGGACACAAAAGGAAATCCATTTTCAACTTTTTTTCAGTGACTATTTTTAGAGTATTCGGTGGAGGGAAAATATCCAAAATCTTTTTTGGCAAGTCCTATATTATTGGGGGACACTACGTCGCTACCCTTTAATAATCGGACCAAAACAATTTTAAGTTTCACAATATCGGAGAGAGAGAAGACGAAGAGCGGCACAGCCTCTCCGCCGATTCCAAAACGCCACCAACACAACATTTCACACCCGATCGTTCATTCCATTCTTCCCCTAAATACACGACACCACAAAATCCTAACAAACTTTTTTCAGTACAAAATCTAGAAATCCAGCATTGTTAAGATGGATTGTGTGAAGAAGAACAGAGGAAGGAGCAAGTTGTGGATGTGTTTGAGACCGATCGCCTTCGAAGAAGAAGAAGAAGGGAAGAAGAGCCCAGGCCGAACCCAAGGAACAGGCGATCCGGTCCTCTCGTACATCACAGTTGACAAAGGCCAAGAGAAGAAGATGGTGATTCCGAAGATTCTGACGTCCTTGTCCGAAGCGAAGTTGAACATTTCTTCGTGTTTCGGCGGCGGCGGAGGGCGGAGGAATAATGAGAGGTCTCGCCGGAGTTTGTCTCGAGTTATTAAAGCTGTGTTCTTCGAGACTTCATTGGTTAGTTAGTTCTTTGATTTTGCGTTTTTTACTTGCTTTGATTGATTCATGGTCTGTTTGGTTGACTCATCGTTGAATTCTTAAATTCGTTTTATTTTTGAAAAAAATAATTAAAGGCAAGAGTATCTAACAAATTACTGAATGAAGAACAAACAAAATATATATGAATGTGAACTCCAATGAAGTTGTGAAAAAATAGAAATTTTTATTTTTTAAAAAATAAATGTGATTTCGCACCTCTTTAGTCATGTCATTTCTTTATTTTTTTATATTTAAAAAAAATCAAAAAATTAATTTTAACCTTCAAAAAGTTAGCTTTGAGATCATTGCATTCCATCATTGTGTATAAAAACTCTGTTTACTTTTTGGTTTTTCAAATAATAAACAAAGTTCTTATTGTCATACGCATGAATATCGGCATGAATGAATGAAATGAGTAGTTGAAAATTTGACAATTCTTAAAATTTGTTTAAACTTGATTTTTTTATTTAAATTTAATTTAATCAAACTCATTAACTAAACTTAATTCTTTGTTTATAATGCCTATAAATTTATTGAATCAAACTCAAAAAATTATTAATTTAAGAGTTTATTACATTTTATACTTCTAAACTATTGTCAAATTATCTACGTGATTGATGAGCTATCGATTGAATCTATTAGCTTTTAAAGCATATAAATAACTTTTTTTTGCTTAAAATTAATTTGTTTGAGTAATACTAGAGATTTCAAAATTTCTAACAACAGTCTTGCATGGGTGTGAGACCTCCATGTGAGTTTCACACTCATGTGAGTCTCACATCTATGTGAGATATTTGATAAAATTTTTGAAAACATTTTTGAAATTGTTTATTTAACTAACAATTCTCAAATTTTGAATTTTTAACAACTTAAACATGAATCATATTATAGTTTGGTGTTTTATAAATTTTACTTAGAATTCATCCAAATTTGTAATTTTAGGTGATATTAAAGCTTCGTTTGGCAGACTTTTTTGTATTAGGATTTTTTTAGCCTGACTTTTTTAACATCGTTTGGTTTGGATTTATTGACTTTTTTGACTTTTATGAGAGAAAAAGTGTAATAATTATGGATTGAATGTGATATTTTATATTATTAGCTTAATCTATTTTGTTATTTTGTGTTTTTTTAGCCCCAAAATGATAGGCAAACTGGGGCTAAATCAAAGCATTAAATTAAACATTGATGACAGTGATTAATTAGTGAACAGTGAGTTGTCTATTTTATGATTAATGGTAGTAGTAACAGTCACCAAATTACGTTAATTTCAAATTCAAAAACAATATAAATTAAGATTTTTTGAAATTTAAATTTGAATGACGTTAGAGAGCATTTAAATCCTGTTAGTCCCATGAACATTCCAAAATTAGAGTTTGTCAACAGCAGGAGAAATATCAAATTAGCGATAATTTTAAAAAAAAATTATAAATTAGTGATAAATTTTATAAATATTAATAATTAAATCATATATTTTCCAATAATTTATAATTATTTTTTTAAAAGTGCACTGAATTGTAATTTTTCTTATTTTTTATTTGAATACTTTCTAAATTTGATGAATCTCATTTTTTTCCTTTTCAATCTCACTTTGCTTTTCGAATTCCCTATTGTTTCCACACTTTTTTTAACATCATGATCTTTGACGACGAAATTGGCTCTATCAACATGATTGTGCTTATTACTTTTCACTTTTTATTATTGTTCAAATTGAACTGTAGATTTTTTGATAAATCACTACAGTTTTTCAATGTTCAAACTGATTAATGAATTTACTTTTTTTTTTTTGAATAGGCCAAGAAGGTTCGTAGCAGTAGAAAAGATTCTACCAAAGCCAAGAAGGTTTCAAAATCCGCAAACAAAAAGCTTAGAGAATCCTCAGAATCCAGCAGCAGTTCAATGAATCACAATCGATCGTTTTCTATAACTTCCTCAGCTCCGTTCTGTTCCTCCTCATCTGCTTCATCTACTTTAAACTCCAGATCTTCATCAGAACGAAAGGAATCATTTCGGGCAAGTCTAGTTGAATCAAAACCTCAAGCAAGTCCAGTTGAATCAAAACAAGTAGACAGATCAATCTCAACAAAGAAAGTTGTGGAAAATTACAGTTCAAATATGGTGATGTTGTTGCTTCTTCTATGCCTATTGGTTTTGATCCTCTGGGGAAAAGTTTGTGCCATAGTATGCACTTCGACGTGCTTTTTCCTAGTCCCTAACAATGTTAAGAGGGTTGGCACAACGGTAAAAACTGTTCAGTCATCCGAGATTGAGTCCGAAGAGCATAAGAAGAGAGTCGTCATGCAAGGATTGCTCGAGCGTAATCGCAATCGGGCGCTATAATAAAGTCACCTATGGAATAGAATGGTCATTAATGTGTTAGTATTTTGTTTTCTTTCTAGAGCGATGAATTCGTTCTGGTAGAGTATGAGCTTATTCATGATGCGAAACATAAATGATTTGTTTACAGATTTTTGTTTTCTCTGTTCGCCCGTTGAGAGTGTATTCCGTTCACATTTTTTGTTTGTTTGTTTGAAGGGGATGAACAAATGTGTATACATATATTATTTTTTATTTTTTGCCAAATGAAATGTACCATCCATTTTTCTCATGTTGTTTATTAGTTGTTTGGTGCCATATGTTTGATGTTCTTATGCAAAAAAATTATTATTAAAGAGCAAAAATAATTTGGGTCTTGGACTAATTATGCAAATGGCCTTTAATGGATGCAATTTTGTTCTACATTAGTCTTTAATAATTTTATTTTATCAGTTTGAATTTGGAGAATTTTTTTTAAGGTCCCTGATATTAAGATTTTATAGCATAAAGGACATCAAATATTTTCATAATGTCTAAGGTCCCTCAATATCGATCCAGAGAAATTTCAGTCACAGAGAAATTTTGTCCAGAGCAAATCTCTCTAGAGAAATTCTGTCCAGAGAAAATTGAAACTCTCTCCAGAGAAATTCTCTTGATTCAAACCAGAGAAAATTGAAATTTCTCTCAGTACCAAAGAAATCCAGAGAAAATTGTGAAGAGAAAATTTGTGTGGCTATCCAGGAAAATTCTCTCACTTCACAAATTTCTCTGGCTCTTTTCTAATTTTTGCATGCCATTTATAGTGCAAAATGCCAAAACTCATCATCTCATCTTTTCAATCACTGACCTTTATAAAATATATCAAACCTTTGATAGCAATGGCAAAATTTAACAACTTCAATGACATCTCCATTACCCAACTGCTATAACATAATTATGACAGTTCAAAACAACAATTCTATTGAATAATACTACTTCTGATTCTCTCTTCACCATTGCACCATTACTCTCTTTGTTACTGCTGTGACCAGAATTATGAGCAACCTCATGACATTTGGGTTCTTCTTCTACCTTTGCACTGTTGTCGCCATTCTCCCTTGAAGTATCATATTTGTCGTTGTCACCATCATCATTTGAATTTCTCTGACTTCGGAATTTCTCTGACTTCAGAATGTGTTTTAGCCAAATTTCTCTGATTTCGGAATCTATTTTAACCAAATTTCTCTGAGTTCGAAATTTATCTCCAGAGATTAAATATTAAAGATAGATTGTTGACAATTGAACCACTTTTGGACAATGACTCCGAAGATACATTACTACAAACCAGAACTCTTCTTTCTAGAAGAAAATCCTCAATGAGAATAAGCAATTCACCAGAGAAGTATAATTCTGTAAAAGCGCTTCTTGTCTCCGCATCAGACATCACTGTGTATAAAGAAAATTGCAAGTTCTTAAAGGGGAGAAAACATGAAAATGGTGGCTACAAATAAAATATAATAGAAATGAAAAATCACACAAATTTTAGAAACCTGTGTGCAAGCATCTGGCAAAGGAATCTAAAAAGAAGGTAGAATCTGCACGTGATACCTTTCCAAAATTCTCCCAAGCCATCCTGGAAAAGTTGTGCAGTAAAACTGAAAAGAATACACATGCCTTCTCCCTGTAAAGGGTAAACAAAAAAACACACGAAAAAAAAGGAAAGAAATTAAAAAAATAAGAAGAAATAAACAGATTAGACCTTATTCATAATCTTGTTGCACACAGGACTTCCTTTTTCTAATAATTCACCAAGAGAGGCAACAAAAGCAATGAGTCAATACTAACTAACAGACATAACTAAATTAACATGGAAATCTTTCAATGGTCTCAAACGAAGTTAATCCTCGAACAAAAGTGCCGAACAAAAATAACCTAACTTTTTTGACAAAAGCCCCAATGCATGTTCGTTTAGACCCTGGATGGAGGTTGATTTACCTGGTTGATCTGAAGGGAGAGGCGCTGGCAGCGGTGCCGATGGCAGCAACAGTAGAGGAGACGAAGAAGAAGGTTGAGTTTGGAGATTTGGAGGAGTGGAAGAGAGCAGCGAGAGAGACATATAGAGCATGAGATATATATCAAATTTCTCTGTGATAGATGGGAAGGACCTTAGACGTCAAAAAATAATATTGTGGATCTCTTCCATTACTAAAAATGGGAGAGGGACTTTAGACTAATTTTCCCTTTGCATTTTAGACTGCAAAATATGAATTTAAATATTTTTAACACTCTTAGTGTCTAAATTGATTTACATCAATTGTAATATAGTCTTAAAAAAATCAAAAGATACAAATATATACACATGATGTTCAAAATACTTTGTTTTGTGACATTTTGATTTTTAAATTATGCACTTTATGGTGGTGTTTGGGAAGTTTGTGGATTGGGTTTTTTTTTTTATTTTTTTCACTAAAAGACAAACTTTTTGCAAAACAAAAAAAAATAAATCCAAACAAAATATCACATCCAACTCTATAATTATTTCACCTTTTCTCTTACAAACATCACATCCAATCACAAAAAAACCCAACTATCTTCCCAAATACCAAAAAAAATTTCTCCAATAATATCCTATAACTAAAAAATTTTACATAAAAATCCACTTCCCAAACACCCACTGTATTTTTGTCTTCATTGATTTTTTTATTTTTTTTGGTGAAAATTTAATTAAAATCTTGGGATTGGATATAAACTTTTGAAGTCCATGTAGTTGACTTTAGGGGTGGCTGGCTAGTTGCCTGGGATCCGCCTCCTCTTCAGCATTATTTAATCAAGCAATCATTTTGTACTCTTTTGCCGGTCGTCTAGTTAGTCATCTAGCAATAAGGTGACAGTCAAGGTCAGCAAAGCGGACGATCACAATAGACAAGTGTTGCATCAATCGTTCGAACGATCGACCAGCATGCACAAAACATGGCCTCTTCCTCGCCTTTGAATCCCTGGCTGCCGTGCGTTTTTATTTGCGAAACATGGCTGAAGAGTATTGGACAAAAGAGTGCTAGAGAGGAGGGAAAAACATTTGTTCAATGGCCTGCTCACCTCATCTAAAATCTAGAATTAGGGATTGTTTGAAATAATTTAAATATGTATATTTTTTAACTTTTTACAAATAATATACAGAAAAGTAGAAAGATAATGTGATTCAAATAAATGCATTAATCTAAATATGTGCATTATAAGGATGATTACAAGTCAGGTTTGGGACGAGTTTATAGAAATCTGCTCCCGTCTCGTGTCATATCGGGATGGGCCAAATCGGGAGTGATGGACCAGAGCGAGAGGCAAGTTAATTTTGTAAGTTGAAAAATGAAAATATTAATAAAAATTATGGATAATATAGTATGCTATGACTACTAATTTATACTTAATGAAAATTATATTATATAAGATAGAAAATAAATGAATAAAAATTACGGTGAAGCACCAATAAATCCCAAATAGTGATCTTATTAACTGTTTAGTCCTCTTTTTTTCTCTTATGAACCCAAATGTCCCATTTTAGTGTGAATTACATAAATGGCCAAATGTAAGTTTTCTCATAATGTTGAAATTACTAAACGTAACATTTCAACAAAAAAAATCCTAATGTACTTTTTCTAAACGTAACACTTTAATGTAATACTCCAAAAATATAACACTTCAATGTAACACACTAAAAAAAATTTAGTATATTTTTTCCAAACATAATACTCCAATCAATGTAACACACAAAAATTTCTTACTCGAACGAAACACTCTAATGTAACATGTTAAAAAACTCCTTACTGCACTTTTCCCAAACATAACACTCCAATCAATATAACATTAAAAAACTCCCTAATATATTTTTCTCAAACGTAATAACGTAACATTCTAAAAAAAAAAATTAGTGTATTTTTTTTCTAAACGTAATATTCCAATCAATGTAACACATAAAAATTTCTTATTATACTTTTTTCAAATGTAACACATTAAAAAATTCGTTAGTGTATTTTCCCCAAACGTAACAACATAACATTCTAAAAAAATTCCTTAGTGTATTTTTTTCAACGTAACACTTTAATCAATGTAACACACAAAAATTCTCTAATGTACTTTTTCCAAACATAACACTCTAATGTAACACTCCAATGTAACACCAAAAAATCATACTACAGAAATGTAGATTTTCACGCTCGACAACCAATACTTCAACCAACAATTCCTTCAAAAATAAACTTTCACACCTCACATTTCCATTCTAATCAAAAAAAAAAAATCAAGTAGAAAATTAGAAAAATGAATTATAAAAATGCATTCACTTAAAGTCAAATGGTATCAAATCAAATAAATATAACTTTTCACAACAAAAATGATTAATTAGTTCATAAGAAAACTCCTAGAACTAAATGGATCAACATGCCCTCATATGGGATTTATGAGTATATTTTTCTGAAAATTAATATTAAGTATAATATTGTAGTGTTTTTATTTTATTATAATGAAAAATAAATATATTATATATATTTATACATACAAATATATAAATAAAATCTTGGCAGGTTCAGATGGAACAGGACGGGGGAAGCAAAATCCGTCCCCGTTTCATTTCTTAATTGGGGCGGGAAAAATCGATGTGGGACAAGGCAAGATATAAAAGTGCGAAGTAAGGCGGGAAAAATGACCATCCATAGGACCATCTCCAACGGTTACTATTTTTTTTTCATCAAATTTAAATTTGATAAAATAAGTTTAGGTTTGCTACTCCAACCATGACATCAAATCTATATAACTTGAGGATGTCTTCAGTTTTTCATCAAATTGAGGATGTCTTCAGTTTTTCATCAAATTGAGGATGCCTTTAGTTTTGCAGTTACACCGGACGACTGGCTAATTGTCCTTCTAGACAACCTCTTCATTGCAAAATTGTCCTTTATGTTTTGGTCAATTTACACAAAATCGATTGATTGGACAGATATCTGCCCGATCGTCTTCTTAATTGACCGATGATTTGATAAAAAAATATAAAAAAAATCGTTAAAACTCTCAGTATCAAATAAAACATTGACTCAAATTTTTATTCAAATTTAATATAAAAAAATAAGCGTTCAAAATGCTCCAAGTGCATTTATTTAAAAATGCCAAACAAACTCCTCATAGAGTTGGGTTGACATGAGATTTCCAAATAATAACGCTTGGCCCAAAACATGACCCGACCCACTTAATGACCCACAAATAGAGATGTAATAATGGCCCGGCCCAGTTTGGCCTATCCGGGCCTCGCGGGATCTCGCTTTTTTAGTAGGTTGGGCC